TATATTATTATATTATTATATATATTATATTATTATATTATTATATTATTTATTACTTTATATCATTTTACTTTCAGGTTCAATTGCGTAAAGTAAAACTCAGTGCGTCCACTAGGCAGAGCAGTCATACAGCAGTAATCGAAGTTTGTTCTCAAATCGTTTGAACCATCCCGAAAAGGTGGCTTTTCACACGAGTCTAGTGTTCTTCATTAGTGCAGGGTTTGTCTTATTTCGAAACAAAGCAAGGTTCCAGTTCGCCATACGGCCAGTGGTGTAGGCTCTTCTTGAAGAAATCACATGGCAGCAAACATTCTCTGGATACTAAACCTGAGTACTCTTGTAGTTTGGAGGACAACGCTTTGAATTGGGTGAAAAAAAGGGGAGAGAAATGGTTGCTTCCTCAAACTTTACAATACTTTGTGAACTAAAATACATATCTCTACCAGTCAGCAACGGTGACATAGTGAAATTCTAGTTGGACTCATCCGTAGTGTGCTCACTGTCATCACATAAGGTTACACTTATACAAGCGCCAGTGAAGAAAATTTTGCCGTGTATATTCACTGAAACGGCGGTTATAACAACTATTTACTTGTTTGGTCACAATTCTCAGTGTTCCATGAAAAACGATCCAAAGATGGACACATTTTCACTTGAATGGCCTCATCTTATTAAGAAACATGACCCTGAAACTTTACGAAAAAAAGAAGGACGCGTATGACAAAATGCTAGCGTTTTGCTGGTGGATAGGAAGATCAGCGCACCCCCAGTACGTGCGGCAGACCATGTTCCTGTAAATGCGAAGGTATTGGAAGGCACTTCTTGCTTCGTTTTCACTAGGGAAAAATCTAGAGGGTCAAAAACGTTACCATCTTGGGGCTGTTGCCTAACTAGAGGTTTCTTGTAGCAAGGAAGTACTGTACTGGACACAATTGGTCCTATAAAAACAAAAACCTCCAGGAACTCAACAAGAAATTTTCTGCCCCTCTCAACATATTTTTATTTTTTATGTTTTTATTATTACTCAAGACATTTCCATGCTCTGATATTAGTGAAAGGTTTAAAACTGTCCTGGCAAAAGCGCACAGCACCAAATCATAGGAAGGAAGTCAGAACGTCAAGCCCACATTAGGGGTGTTTTGATGCAAACTACAGGTCGGGCCAGTACTGAATACAAAACAAAGGTCCGCTCTGTTTGACGAGCGAAAAGCAGACAGAAGCTTGTTGCAAAATCGTTGGAACATAACGAGAAGCATTCGTCATGAAAAATCCAGAAATTAAGTTTCCCCATAAAACAGATGGTGGACGGTATAGGGTCACCACAAAAGAGCTGGCCAGAATTCCAGCAGGTGTCACAACGCCATATATCACTCACATGTATCTCGCTAAAAGAACCAGCTGGGTCTGAGTTGGAGTTGGGCGAAGTCCTTGTTACTTTTCATATCAACTCGACGTATGCAAATGTTCCTAAGACGGGCGCTTTGGGGGTTGCAAGGGTGTTGCTTATGGCAGACCCCATAATACGAGAACAGACACAACCATCTGTAGACGAGATAGATGGGGGGCATAGAAATATGTTTTGGCCAGTTCGCTTTTGACTCAGTTATTTACTCCGCCTAACCATGGGATCTCCAGTATCCCGGGTTCGGCCTAATATGTATAAGGGGGATTTTAGACAAAAAAATCAACCAGCTTCCAGTGCTCATCGGGGTTTTTTGGCGTTAAGTAGATAACACGTTTGTAGGGATCGAGTGCCATAAAATCAACCAATCCTGCTGGTATACAAACACCTTGAATCCTCACAAAGAGTTGAGCATGTGACTGCCTTTCCTAGACTTTATGACGCACAAAGATGGTGGAAAATTGAAAACTACTGCGGATGACGTAAAAAACTATTTATCGGCATATCCTGAGACGATACACACTTGTAGAGCTTCAGCAATATTTGGTGGAGTACAAGCACAGGGCCGAACAGGAGCATAAACTGAGGTTAGAGAAAATTCAGGAAAGCGGATATTCGACGGATTTACTTAAGCGACAATCACAGCGGTTACTAGCCTCAGAACCAAGACCTAATAAGTGAGTCCGAACAGAAATCATCCCATGCAAAACACGAAGTCATGAGGAGGATGTTGAATATGGGTAATACTAGAACAGTATTTCAGAATGGAGATTACGCTCAACGTTCGTACAATGAGGAGTCATCTCCCGGGTTGACAGGATTTGGGACTGGGTACTCAACCATTGCAGGAAGTCTTGCATGGGACAATTGGCCACGTAGCTGCACAACGGCAATGGTTAGCACAAGCGGTGCATAATCAAAACACCGAGAAACACAAATGAATGTCAGGAGATAGTTAAAACTTCGAAATGGTGGTACACGGGCTGAACATTGGACACAATATAGTCGAAAAATATTTAAGTCTTGAGGCGAGAACTAAGATTTACACCACGGCGGGTGGTTACCGAGGCGATGGTAATCATCAATCATCTCAGCAGGAATAGAATACGGGGCAAAGAACCGACAAGTGTGTAGAGACCGAATTTTAGATAAGCTGAGTTCCAACGTGGCAGTGTGTGGCCAACAATTTGTATCTAAAGCATATAGCCCGAGCCAACTGAAACCACCTGATCTCCCTACGAGCCGATTATCCTAGCGACTACTAACTCCATACACAAAAATTGTGAACGATACTCAAAAAGAAGAAAAACGCCCCAAACCCGATTCAACTTGGCGACAGTTTCTCACTAACTCGCTCGTCTTACGCGTCCACGCCAACCAATAGTAACCGCTGATTAACATTCAACACTGATTAAGTCTGTTAGTTGGGAGATCCCACCGACTGGTCTTCCATCTGCCTTAAAATCGGTTGACCTGGTAACTTATTCACTGGGACTGACAATACTTCCGTATCAAAATCGAAACTTGGAGAAACAATGAATCCATCGGTTGTTTACCAAACCTTTCTGAAACCATACAGGGATTGGTTTAACTTTCAAAATGGCAAGTGACGGACTGTGCGACAATACCACACTGCTTCAGAAGTGGACAATACTTTCACTTTTGGATTACTGCAACAACTGTACGGTACTGTAACTCCCGCGAGCGTGCTTACCTGGACGTACATTAAGTTACCTTTTGTTTTGGTTAGGGGAAAGTGTGCTCATCATCCGATACCCCGAATACGCGCACTCAGATAACCGATCAGACGGACATGTGAGTTAAGTGACCTGATTTTGTTTAGGTTAGAGTAAAATGAAGAGGAAATAACCGTTCATCTGTAAAACCCCTTCTGATGCCTAGCTATCATGCCACCCGAAGAAGCAGGACTGAAATACTGTCAGATGGTCCACGCATAGGTAGCAGCAGTTGGGATATAGAGGTCGGGTTCGGACGACAAACCCTTCGGTTAGTAAGTTCGTGTCGTAGTCACCGATCCATCTTGAGATCACGTGTCACGGAAAAATATAGCTCACGCCCAGCTCATACAGTACATTCGTTCATATGAAAAACTTTCCCCATAGAACATCAGTAGATAAGACGGTTTAATGTGTTGTTTAGCTCCGCTGAAAGCACAATCCCTGCATAGATCGTGTAGCGCGTTAGTGAGTTGTCCGCCGGGCTCAGGTAATACAATTTCGATCCCTTAAAGGGAGCAATTTGACTGAATGAAGGCGGTAGGATTCTCAACCGAAGCATACGGATCGATATCGTGAATTGAGAGTTGTTCGCCTAACTAGAAAAAACGTTAAAAGGGCAACCCGAAGAGGTAAATTCCCGGTGAATTTTTAGTTTCCCGAGTTCCAGTCCAGCTGCATTGTCTTGACACCCCTAATGCGCGAGCTCTCCAGAGTAACTAGCCAGGGAATTGTAACAAAGTCTTGGAAAACAACTATTGACAACAGAATAGTGACTATCTCAAGTATTGAAGATTTGACCGGGCATAAAATACACCGTGGTCAGAAAGTGCCCGAGCCTAATGGGTTCAATAATAGTGGGGCAAATAATCTTGATCTTATCATGGATATGGTGCACGCAAAAACAGAAGCTGGATCGATAACTGAAGGCTGCGAAAAACCCCCCGGAATAAACCAAATCAAAACCAGAGAAAGTTCCAGTCTAAATATGGTGGATGTGATTGGTGCATTTTTCTCCTGACATCAAACGTGGTGATGTACTGGGACAAAGGGCACAATATTTTCGAATGTTGGGACAACCTGGGCTCACTGAACAGTCGGGCGGGGACAGCAGTGAGGCCATATCAACCCAAGGTTCGCAAAAGCGATTAACATAGTGCATGAGTGGGTACAGTAGACTGCTGGGACCGAAAATCCTGCAGCGTATTAGCCCAGTAGTCTCTCAATCACCAGATGATACGTGGGGTGATTCAAAAAATGAAACATACCTGGCCCTCTGCTACCCCTTTGGCAAGTATGCTGTCTGGTACTGGAGTAAATCGTTCGTATCTTGGATTTCGCTGTTTCCGATTTCTAGCGTCTCCCACCTCGGGAATACTGTTCCATTCGCTCTCGGACACATTCGCCAAATCCCGTTTGAGGTCCATGAATTGCTGTTGTATTTTGGGTCGCTCCCGGCGATAACGCTCAATCTCTTCGCGAAAGCGTTTCTCACGATATTCCTTCCTGCGTTCATCCATGCGATCATCGATTGAAGCGTAGATCGCATCGGCCTCCTGATCATCCTTTTCGTATGGGTCTTTTGAACACAAACTTCCGCCATAACCAGTGAACTAATTAGACAAAACAACAGATATTATTGATCAGGAATAAATGTGGCGATCGTTTTCCAGTTCTATCATTTCAGTGAAAACGGGTGCATAATATTGAATGAATAAATCTGCCTTTCAAAATATACCCAAAAATTACTCGTTCCCATAAGGATGCCTGAAAACTGTTGCATAAAAGGCGGAGCGGACGCAAAGGTGAAGTAGGCTGATTAACCCAATACAATACACTGCAATGTGATAATCGTACCTAAGCACATTGGCCCATTTAAAGGTCGGTAGTTTTGACTGGACAGCTAGAAATAAAAATGAAGTGCTATACCCAATTTGCGTGTGGGGGCTTAAGTTCAGAAGAACTTGAAATCATGGGTTAGAAACTGAGCACCTCGGAGGTCACTGTGGTAGCAAACAATGTTAAACGCCACCAAAGACTGAGCCACACAGTCGCGGTAGGCATCGCCTTCAAACGTTCACCCAAGAGTATAAATCAGTACACACCAGTAGTGCTGCTCAACACCTTGCTAGTGTTAGCCGCACCAACAAGGTAGCCCCCACAGCGTTTCAGTACACAATCACTCGGATAACTACGAAGAGTGATTAGCGCCCGCCAAAAGTGACAAGTCATCCGTTTCGCAGAAGCAGGTAAGGCAATCAAGGCGTACTTAAACGGATAAACTACTTACTTCGTCATAGTTAGATTCATTCAAATCCTCTTCTTCTTCTTGTTCCTGTTCCTTGCGACGTTTTGACGGAGCCACATGTCTTTCATCAGACACATCATTAGCTTCACGGGCAGGCCCAATATCCGATCGGGTTGTAAAGGCAATAGCACCACGGCCGATACCAGCAGCATACCCGAGAGGGGCCGGAAGACCTATAAACTCCTTTCGCTTCTTCGTTACAAGCGACTGAACAGACATGCTGGCGAAACGGTAAAACTGAATGTAATACGGAACCTGGAATTTGTACAAAGAGAGAATGTTTTTGGTGTCACCCGGTGTTCTCATCAAACAGTCGAACTGTGCAGGGATCGATATATATATATATATATATATATATATAATGAGAGAGCTGCTCCTCAAGAAGTCACTTCCGCAGAGAGAATGTTTCCGAAAACAAACGAGATTACCCTTTTCCGGCCGCAATAGATGAAGCAATGCACAAGGTACCCAATGAAGAGTGTGGACCGCTGGAGAAACATTTCAAGTGGCCTGGGAGCTAAACAATGGATACGTGACTGGCCCTGGCAATGGACAACACAGGTTGGATGGCGCGCACGTATTAAATGAGTTGTGATAGCAACCGCGTGGTAAATCCGATGTTCCGGGACCTCATGGTGTCATAAGAAGGAGATACCGATCCAGGATTTATAAACAGGAATAAGACCTATGCATTTTTCACACTAAGGTCCACGTGGGGGGTCCCACAGGGTTTCCCTGTTCTTCGAACGACAACAATGGTCGTTTGGAGAAACCTTACCACCCAAACGTCCCGGGTGCTGAAGTGGTGTGCCAACGGAAACCTTTGTGTTGCTTGACTGTCCACTGATTTTCACTATTTCAAATTCATTTTGCATGTGATAACTTAACTTTGGGCACGTGGTCTAAAACATTCCAGGATACAGTTCACAACGAGCAACCAATGTCTATAACCACCGTTGTACAGACCAAGCCAAACAACGGCTATCACTGACCAGCCATGTTCGTATGCGTTTGATGAGATCTCAGAAAAGTCCGGGCCACCAAACCACCTTTCGTACGCAACTTTCACCTCAACAGTTCAATTCAACCCACAAGACGTGACAACTATGAGCCATCAGTAGGGCACACCGATCCGGTTGGTTATGTAAGGAATTCGAATTAGTTTTCCCACATTCTACCACGTAAATTATGAAACTTTGGATTGTTAGTTAGCCAGTTGCGAGACTTTCAAAGTTTGAGCTTCTTGCACCCCACAGAGTGTAATGTGTTTAGGGCCGGGAGTTACGGCAGTGGAGTTTTGAAGCCCCCAGTGCTGCCGCTCAGATCCATGGAAGATGCGGAGTTATAGGGGACAGCGTCTGGAACCCAGTTGACTACTGCGGTGTAATCGTGAGGTCGCGAGTTAGAGATTTCTGTAGGGGTGAATACGGCTGTTGGGGATTTGGAGTGTAAAACAAAGGTCATCGAGCAGCCTCGACTATCATGATCATGGGTATTAATACATCAGCAGTAGTGACTGGTGTTCAACTGCATACAGACATGGAGGAGTAATGCCGAAAGGTGAAGTGGAGTTTTGAAGCCCCCAGTGCTGCCGCTCAGATCCATGGAAGATGCGGAGTTATAGGGGACAGCGTCTGGAACCCAGTTGACTACTGCGGTGTAATCGTGAGGTCGCGAGTTAGAGATTTCTGTAGGGGTGAATACGGCTGTTGGGGATTTGGAGTGTAAAACAAAGGTCATCGAGCAGCCTCGACTATCATGATCATGGGTATTAATACATCAGCAGTAGTGACTGGTGTTCAACTGCATACAGACATGGAGGAGTAATGCTATGGCGAAAGGTGAAAAAGAGGACAGAAGTGAGAACTTATAGCATAAGCCTCCACGTTCCGGTGGAGGGTGGTCAGGAGTGAGGTGTCCACACCTTCCAAATCATTGAATTAGGCATATCTGTGCACTATATTGGGGCAAGAACTCATCAGCAGGATTAACCAAACACACTTCACAAACCTTAATCAATAAGATTCCAGCACACAACGACCGGCAGGTGTTAGCTAGGCAGTCCGGAGGCACGATAAACCCCCCACCCACCTTAAATTAACGAGCTTAATCTGTCACTCGGACTATTCCCACTGATTGCATATTACCCGTTTGCAGACCTTTTCATTACGCAAGTGCTTCAATAATGCCATCTATACTACGAAGACATCAGTGATAAGACGCCTGAATGGGTTTGAGATGATCAGATCTGGGAGACCAAGTTACACAGTCACAGAGTAGGACCGCCCTCTCGGCCTCCGGCATCCAAACGAGTTTGATTGTTGTAAGTTGTGCCATATGAAACAGATGATAGAGTTCCCCTGAAGGCTTGGTAACCTTCCCATGCGTTTACTCCAACAGTTTCGGAAAATCAAAATATTTCAGTTGTAACACCCTTTCGGTGCCTAGTTGCCATGCCACCCGAAGATAGCACGAAGGTACGGATACTTCCAGGTTGCCCAAGCCTAGATAGGAGAATCGGGAGGCAGAGGTCGATTCAAACCACAGACCTTTAGGTCAGTAAATTTGCGATCTAACTAGTTGAGTCATGCTTATACCAGGATTCGAGTGTGAAGGTTTTCAGTTCGCCAATCAGTGACTTTCAGGATGTGTGGTTCATTGCCGCAATAGTAGGCATACATTAGAAACCTGGGCACTATAGTCGATGATGTTGAATAGCAGTTTAGATCACTAACCCTTGCTGTAGCCATGTTTGTAGTGTACTAGGTTGTTGGAATTGTTCAGCCCAGAGATAACGAAAATTAGGAGTTCATTCCGCTCCGCCCTGGTCTCAGCAGCATTCCCATTTTTTCTCTTGACACGTCCACTCGGTGGGGCGTAGACTCTGGAATTAGCAGTGAGTAGGAGAGCACTCAACTCTATGGTGGGTTCCATGAAATCCTTGAGCTACGGCTTCACGAGGTGTAGTAAGTCAAGTCTCGGAATGAGCCTGGTCGGGGTTATCGGTTTAGTGCTGACAGACGTGGACAGATAATGTCCCACCATTCGTTGCTTGTATCAGGCACTCGGCAAGTGATGGCTTTCGTACATCAGAAGCAAATGACTTCTGTCAGCTTTGATAGGTTGTGATTTGAAAAATCTAGGGAAAGCTGTCTGAGCTGTGTATACACATCAATAGGGAGCAGCTATCCATTCAGATGGGGATATTTATTTCGAATGAGTGGGCACTGAGCTCAGAGGTTGATTAGGTAACAAACCCGATAGTGCGGGGCTGCCAGTTATTCTGGGTCGCTTAGGTGACTTGAATGCCGCGGAAAGTAAAGAATAAGTTCGATGTCATATCGCTCCAGGTACACAGTTGTCTCTAGAAGTGCTTAACTTAAACTATAACTCCAACAACGAGAGGCCTGTTCATGAAAGCTACCCAGGAAAATGAGGTAAGCACTTTTGTCATGGGTTCACGAAAATCGCCAGTTAGGAGCTTGGTACGTGCAATATGAAATAATTTCTCGCAAACGGTACGTTTGTGTACTAGTTTTTCGCATTCAGGTACTCCATATCTAACTAGAATCATTTGCCCCCTCTCCGGTTTCGTAGGACATTTGTCATCCCCATAGAGATTCGCTCCTTCGTTGGGTCATCAAGTGCCTTGATTGGCTGCTGGTTTCATGTGGACGGAAGTTGTGTAAAATCATTCAGCTGTAACACTCTCAGCGCCTAGCTGCCATGCCATCCAAAGGAAGCACGAGGGCTGAGATACTGCCAGGTTGCCCAAACCTAGACAGGGGTTGCCGAGATGCAGAGGTCACGTTCGAACCACAGACCATCCGGTTAGCAAATTCGCGCTCTAACCATTAAGTTGTGTTACAATATGACAAAAAACCCATGAAGTAGCAGGGTCCGTTACTACATCACAGGAGACTTCCATATCTCAAGTGAAACCTTTACAGTGGAAATGGAAAAGCTGTGAAATACGTTGTGACTGAAGATAACCCAAGTGAATTTCATGGACTATGGTACCATTTGCGGTGCGGAAGTCCCTCAGAATGGTTATCGGGTATACGACTATCATGCCCAACTGCAATGGACCCGTCCAGCGCGTAAAAGTTGCAAATACACGACCCAAACGGAACTCCAAAAGAGCTTGGAAGAATAGATAAAGGACGTGTGTATCACAGTCACTGAGCCTCATCCTTCGCAAATCTTCAGATCTCTTGATTCCATCCTATAAAATTATAGCGCGGCAGGAAGCAAAATTAGTTACAGTCCAGGACATGCCCCAGTGGAGGGCGTGTTAAAGAAGGAATTGAAGGACTTCATGAAAGGTACGCAAACCGGGACGAATAAAAGTTGATTGATCGACAATTTGCTGCTGTGGGTAGCTGAAGCTTGGTAAAATAGAATATGAGTTTAAATCGAAAAGGTCGTGGACATTGTTCTTCTTGACCTAAGGCTGCTACCTTGTCGTGGTGCTCGGGCCTTCGTACCACGATGATCCTGTGGGCTATGTTGGCTGAAACTCAGCTTTTAAAGGTTCAAACATGCCAGTAAAGTTAACTGGAAGAAACAAGTCACAACGCCGACGAAGAACGGTGAGCCCCCGAACTGGGGGGAATCGTATTACAACGCGATCTGGAGGCCTCCGCGATGGGAGTGTGAAGGCGGTAAGGCGTTTCTCCCAGGAGACCAGTATGCCTACATTTACGGGAGCAGTTATGCTACCTTTGCCCACAGGACGGATTAGAAAAGGTCAGCCTCAAGAACCGCACACTCCGATTGCCCAACGGTTGCTAGTGACTGCCGGCGCATTATTCAATACGGTCGGAATACCTTTAAAACCAAAGAGGCCGGTGCTGCTCAAAAGGTACCAGCAGTACACAGCCGCACCAGGGGTGAGAAAGTAATGCCCTATTCCTTGCGTCCTTGGGCCAGGACGGCCCCCTACAGCCAAATAGGTCAGACTATTGAATCATTGGCTCCGGGGAGGGTCCCTCAAGAAAACCCCCCAACAACCGCTGTATCGCGGTACAGACTTTTGAGTCAGAGGCTAAGGACAGGGTCCCAGGACAGAACCCTACATCCTCCTACTGCCCTGTGGGTTCAAATGCTCAACTAAACCCTCTTCTTTGACGTGGGCAACCTTGAAGTTCTTCACTCACCGGCCTTTTCCCACATTCCCTCCTCACCCACCTAACATTGCAGTGTGACCGTGGTATCTATGGTGTGGAACTTGCACCCAGTCCCGAAGCTGAAAA